TTTTTTGCACGAACAAAAATGGCGAAAACAAAACAAGAAGAGCAAATAAGAAATTGGCACGCCGAGGTCAGGGTACCCTGGATTTTTTATTTTCAATTTGTGCATTTTTTCTATTTTTTTTTGTCGCGCGGCTGTCCGAGGGGCTCAATTTCTTAAACCAGTGATTTCTTAAGCAGTGCTGTTGCTGTAGAAGAATCCCACTTCTCCACTTGAAATCATGCTACACTTGACCTCAAAACCCCAAGCCGAAGATGTAGGCTCGGATATCAGCTGGCTTTAGCCCCAGCGTCCCCAGCAGTCACAGTAATGATGATCACTGCACGTCCAGTAGCAGACCCTGATGGAGTATAAGCCCAGTCAGGTTTGGGGTTCAGGATTGACCTAAGCCCTAAAACCCCAACGAGGCTGCGCCATCAACTCTTGTTTCAAAACCCTATAAGCTTTAAGCCTTACGCCCTATACCTTCACCGAAAACCCTTAATGAACCCTAAACATCAATGAGGCCACCGGGCCGCTAGAGGAGTCTCGCATCAGCCAAGCCATCCCGGCTGACAGCTTGCGGAAATACGTCCAAAGCATCCTTGCAGCTTCCCTGCACTTGCGGTTTGGGTGTGAATCCCTAAACCCTAACCCCTACACCCTAAACCCGAAACCTAAACCCTGAACCCTAAACCCTAACCCCTAACCCCTAAACCCCTAAGGGGCTAGAGGCTAGAGGCGTGTATGTTAAGGGTTTGTGCAGATCCGACGCGGGTTTTGCGGCGTAGGATTCGGAGTGTAGGGTGTCGGAGTTTAGTATGTCTTGCCTTAACTCTCGGTTTAGAATTCTGGAAATGTGGTTCTTAGGGGTGTTGGGCTTTGGAACTATCCTAAACCCCAAACCTCTCAAGCTCTAAACCCGAAGCCATAAATCTCACCACCCAAGCCCTAACCCTAACCCCCACCCCCTAAACGCAGCTTCCCTTACCCCCCCCCCCCCGAACCTGTCAGCAGTAAACCATGAAAACTTCTGAAGCCCCCAAACCCTCGACTTTAAACCCTTAACCCTTAACCTCCAAGCGTCTCGCTTTCGTCGTTCAGGGCACAAGGCAACTTGCATCCCCGAAGCTTCCCCAGAAGAAGGGTCGGGCCGAGCTTTGGGATTCAAGCGTCAAAGGGGTGGGGGCTTTAGAACTTAAGGGTCTTAGGGTTCTTCTCCCCCAATAGATCTATAAGGGGTTCGATCAGGGATCGCGGGGTTTAGGGTTTTAGGACTGGGGGTTTTGGGTTTAGGGGTTTAGGGTTTAGGGCTTGGCCTTGGGCCTTGGGGGCCTAGCGGTGAGGGTTCAGAGAGCTTGAAAGTTCTTGGGCTGAAGTTACTTTATAGGGGCGGGTGAGATTAGCCCTAAAGCCTTAAACCATCCTAAACCAGGATATCCAGTGCAGTACCCTTCACCCTTCAAGCCCGGAACCCCAATGCCCAAAGTCCAACAGCCAAAAGTCCCAAACCTAGAGCCAAAGACCCTCCACGCAGAAGAAGACTTTCTAGACCTTCAATCCCTCCGAACCTTGGGCAAACCCCTAGAGCCTGAAAGCCTTAAACCCTCAACCCGAGGCCCTAAACCCCAAACCCTGCACCCCAAACCCTAAACCCTAAACCCCTGAACTCTAAACCCCTAAAGCCCTAAACCCCAAAGACCCGAAGCCCTAAATCCGCCTGCTCAATATGGGCTTCTCGAGAGGCTTGGTGCGGACACGAAAGGGGGCCCTAAACCCCAAACCCTAAACCATAAAACCAAAGCTCTAAACCCTAACCCCTAAACCTAAGCCCGAACCCCTAAGCCCTAAACCCAAAGCCCTAAGCCCCAAGCCCTAAACCTTAAACTCTAAACCCTAAGCCCTATAAGCCCCAAACCCTAAGCCCTAAACCTAAACCCCAAGCTCTGAACCCTAAAACCCTAAACCCTAAACTCTAGAAACCCTAAACCCTGAACCCTAAACCCTAAGCCCTAAGCCCTAAACTCTACAAACCCTAAACCCTAAGCCCTCAGCCCTAAATTCCCATTTCCAAAAAGGAGAACGGCCACGTCAGCCGGCCAGCTCTGGGGATCTACCTGGAGCCCGATGCTGGGTTCTTGTTTAGGGGATTTTATTGGAGTTGCCAGAATAGGGTTTAGGGCTTAAGGGTTGAAGGTTTTAGGGGCTTAGGGTTTTAGGGTTTATTGTTCTTGTTTAGGGGATTTTATTTGAGTTGCCATAATAGGGTTTAGGGCTTAAGGGTTTAGAGTTTTAGGGTTTAGGGTTTTAGGGTTTATTGTTCTTGTTTAGGGGATTTTATTTGAGTTGCCATAATAGGGTTTAGGGTTTAAGGGTTGGAGGTTTTAGGGGCTTAGGGTTTAGGGTTTTAGGGTTTCAGGGGTTAGGGGATTTAGTCTAAGTTACCATAATGGGGATCTACAATACATAATATGGCTTCCTTATTAGGGATCTATCGTAGATAATATGGTTTCCTTATTCGGGATCTATAGTAAATAATAGGGTTTCCTTATTATGGTAACTTAAATTAAATCCCCTAACAAGAAACCCAGGATGGCTTCGCCGAGCGCCTGGGTGCCCACGGCGTTGTCGTGCAGGATCGAGGGCTGCGGTACATAATTGGGGTTTATAGGGTTTATATAGGGCTCTAGGGGCTTTTTAGGGTTTTTTTTTAAGGGCTTTGGGGCTTTTTAGGGGTTTCGGGTTTTTAAGGGTTTTAGGGGCTTTAGGGGTTTTAGGGATTTAGGGTTTAAGGTTTAGGGCTTCTATGCATATGGGCAGCTTTCTAAATTAAGGGTTCCTTTTGGGGGCCGCACTATATTGGGGACCTAACAAGGCATCCTAACTTAGAGAACTACCCACATATTGGGTTTAGGGGTTTAGGGTTTAGGGCTAATGCAAAAAAAGATATTAGAAGAACATGCTAGAATGGGCCGGAATAAATATTATTCAACAGTAGGAAGCTTTAGGGTTCCCAGAATTGACAATAATTCACAAGGTACACCTAAGCGCTAGTCCAGCAGTCAACCCCCGCCCCCTATTACGACTCCTGTGTAGTGTTTTGTCTTAGTATCGTCCTTTTTGGGGTTATGGCTTTCGATGTCCTATATATAATCCCTAAACCCTAAAACCCTAAACTCTAAACCCTAAGTCCTAATCCCGGGGATCTAAAAACCGCATTTTTTTTGCTTACCTGTAAAGCCAAGTAGCCCAAAATAACAGACTTCCATACCCTAAAGTAGCCCGTAATTGGCTCAAAGTAGCACCTAAATACAGACTACTGGCTTTCCAGGTACGGTCTAAGTGTAGCCCGTGAGCGCTCGAACCCGTTCAGGCCGAAACTGCCCCGAGGTTTTTTTTGGCTTTATTGGGTGGTTCTCTAAATTAGGGTCCTTTTTAGGGGTTAGGGGTTTATAGGGGTTGACGGGTTTAGGGTTTTAGGGTTTGGGGTTTAGGGTTTGAGTAGTTCTTTAAAAATTAGGGTCCCTTTTAGGGGTTGAGGGGTTTAGGGGTTTAGGGGTTGAGCGTTTAGGGTTTGGGTAGTTCTCTAAATTAGGCTCCCTTTTGGGGTCCTTTTTGTAAGGACTACCCTTACAGTAGGGTTTACCGGCTTACCTAGGGCTCAGTGACTCGGGCTTGGGGTTTAGAGTTTAGGGGTTTAGGAGGGTCTAGGTATCTTTCTAGCCTATTGTGGGCTGCCTGGCTACCCTTGTCGGCCGTTTGCTTGGCACTCAGGTGCATTAAGCCAGAAATGGATGCTCTGCATAGGGGTGGCATGCCAACGTATTCACTTGCACATGTCCTGGGACTGGACGAACCAGCAATATCTCCGAAAAACGCGTGGGCCTTTTGCCGTATGTTACGTAAACCGGCAGGGGAGAACGACGAGCACATTAGCACTTTTATTAGCCGATCCATTCGATTGAAGGCGGCATTGTGCTTGGCAAGCACATATATCATAATATAAGTATGTGTGCAAGACAACCCTAAGCCCTAAAGCTCTGAATCTCTATGCGGGTCCTTCCCAAACCTGAAGCCCCAAGCTTTCCGAAGCCTTTAGAAGCCTATTCATCCCTAAGCCCTGCATCACAGGAAGTGCTTCCCGGGCCTGCCCGCAAAGCGGGCTTAAAGGCAGGCGACATCATCATCTTTCAAGGGGACGTGGCCATCCGCCGAGACTTGGTGATTACTCTTGTCATTATGGCTGTTATTCTTGGAAGTGTCTTTAGTTACGAAGATGGTGATTACTAATTATGGTTCTCAATATTCCCAGAGCGATGCTCTTCTGCGGGAAAGGAGCCGTCAAAGTATCCTGACCTAGGCGTAGAACCAAAACCCCCGCCGTCTGCAGTCGCAGGGGTTTCTTGTAAACCTCGGCGACGTTGCAAGCTAACGAGTGTAGTTAGACAATGTAATCACCTATATACACGGACAGGCAGACAGATTCACAGGAGCACAGAAGACGACGGGCAGACGGATAGACGGCCAGAAGCACTCAGATGGAATGCATGAATGTCGAGATGGCAGTGGCAGCAGACTTAGCTGCAGCTGCAGCTGCAGAGATAGACGAAGATGTTTATCAATGACCCTGTCCACCGCCATTGCCCTTATACCCTAACCCTTGCTAAACTTTGAAGTGCTGTAAGCCCTAAACCCCTAACTCAAACCTCAACCTAAACCAGAAATTTCGAGGAATGGATGACCTGGTCACAGCCCTCGAGATGTACCACCCCGGCGACGGCTTCCAACTGCGTGTGCTGCGCCAGACTGCTGGCGAAGGGCTCGGCGCAGCGTTTTCCACAGGGAGCTATTCGACCGTGGACCTACGAGTTGTACTGGGAACATCGGACAGCGATTATACTTCCCGGTAACTTAGGGGCTGAGTAGGTAACCTTTAACCTTTTGGGGCTTATATAAACCTATTATAACTCAATCAAAAGGTTATCCTTCTTTGGGCTAAGATACTCGGCCCCTAAGGTAATGTTGCTGCTGCCTTACTGATTGCGTATTTTTTTTGTTTTTCCGACTGTCAGTGGCAACCTCTGTTGTTGTTACCGTTGTTGTTGGGTGCTTACTCATCGTTTGCAGCCGTGGCCCTATACAGAATCGTGCAAGCTCGAGGAGAAAAGCCATTGTGAGCAGATTCGCATGATTCCGCGTGGGGACGCCTTCCTCCTGTTATGCAATATCCAAGCCACCTAACCCTAAACCCCAAACCCTAACCCTGAAGCTGAAAGCTTGCACGGTTAGACCGAAACTCTAAACCCTTAAACCAGTGCCTTCTCAGTCCAACAGGCCATTCAGGCCTAGCAGCTGGAAACGTCTTCCAAGGTTCTGCATGGCGACGCCGATGAAACTGATGATGACGACGACGATGATGGTGATGACGATGACAACGGTATGAAGAAGCAGGTGAGCACCTGAACCCTAAACCCCAAGACCCAAGCCCTAAACCCCTAAACCCTAAACCCTATGTCACTATGTGAGATGTCTATTGATCTTGAGATAATTACCTGGGCAATGGGACCTCACAGTCTTCACTCAAGTCTGCAGTCAGTTTCCCTACAACGTCCTTCAGCCCAGGAGGGGGGTAATGGTGTAGGGTTGTTAGTTGCGTACGGCTGCAGAGTTTAGAGCTAGGGTTTAGGGGTGTAGCTCAAAAAGATGGAGGATGCGATCATGTGGAACGAAGAGCCGCAACAGCACGCACTGAAACATATAAGCAACTAAACCCTAAACCCTAAAATGCGAAGCCTCTCAGTGATCGCAACCCCTGGAGCCTAAGCCCCTATACCTTAAGGCATTTTAGTTCCACCTCAAACCCCTGACCCTCAGACGCCCTCATAGAGCTCATTTGAAACTCTAACCCCCCCTTCTTAGAGGCGTTTATAGGATTTTTCATGAAGTCCCTTAACAAGATGTTTTTTCAATGGAGCCTTTCCAGTCGTTCGTACACTGTGGGGTCCTCAGGGTGCATGTTACACCAGAAAAAGAAGAGAGGCTGCAATATCGCGGCATTTGTTCATCGCTTCGCCCCTATAGTCCCGTCCCAAAGGCTCCACGCAACCAAGCAATGATCTATTTCCTATAGCCCTGCAAACCACAGGTTTTAAAGTATAAACTCTATAAAGTCTAAAACCCTAACCCCCTAAACTCTAAAGTCTCGGAGTTGAGGGCTCAACGCCAACGTGAAATCACAGAACCCTTCAATTCTAGAACCTCTTCTAGAAGCTCAGTATAGAACCTTCTAGCAACCTTTGAACATCTTGGAACATCTTCTAGAACTCCGAAAAGAAGCCCTATTAAACTCATTTCAATGGCCCTGACGCCTTCGACCACCCTAAACCCTAAACCCCTAAAGCCCTAAACCTCAACCCTGAACCCTCAACCCTAAACCCTAAAACCCCACCCCCCCCGCGCAGGTTGGAGTGACAGTTGGCCTGCTCCCGAGCGGCCCTGCAAGGGCCGTGGCATCGGGGAAGGAGCCGATAAGAAACCGGGCGTGGGCTCTTTGCGACCATGTGGGGTGGGTTGAGGGTTTAGGGTTTAGAGTTTAGGGTTTAGGTTTCGGGTTTGGGGTTTAGGGTTTAGGGTTTAGGGAGGGACGGGATGTGTGTGTGTGTGTCTTTATAGCCGCTACATGACTTGAAGAAGGCTTTTTCATAGCACGATCTTTATAATGTGGGTTCGTGAGGGTGTATGGGGCTTACAGTAAACCCCAAAAATTGAACCGGTTAAGGACAATTAGTGCTGGGATTCCCTATGCATTGCTCTTAAGGGCTAGTGGGTTTCCAACTCTTGGCCTTCTACTGTAAGGTGTTACTGAGCGCAGACACTGGTTCGACATCGTCCTCTACCACTGGGCGCAGCATCCCAAGGTCGCGGGAAAACCCTGGCCCACAACCCCAAAGAGCCCCAAAAAAACCATGCCTGTGTTTCGGGGGTTCAGGGTTTAGGGTTTTGGGGTTTAGGGTTCTGGGGGTGTAGGGGGCCCTGAACACTGGCTAAACTCAAAACCCCGAAACCCTCAAACTCCTAGATTTGGATCCAAGAACATGGTTTGCCCAAGCCCTAATCCCCAGGAGCACGACAACATTGTCGTCGCTGCCGCTCAGGTCAAGAAACTCCAGGCGCAGCCAGTAGTAGTTTAGGGTTTAAGGTTTAGGGGTTTAGGGTTTAGGGTTTAGGGGTTTAGGGGTTTAGGGTTTAGGGGTTTAGGGGCAGTTGGTTTAGGCTTGCTGCTGTAAGGGTTCTCATTTAAGGCTTACCCGTGCGAGCGGTCTTGTTTGGGTCTAAGGAGTACTTTACGGGCTTGGGGCTTTAGAGATTTAGGGGTATGGGGTTTTATGATGTTTCAGGGTTGAGCTTTATAAGCGCCCTGCTACCTCCTCTTATTTGAGGATGTCTGCTTGGGATCAATCCCTGCACTTTGTGGGCAGAGGGAAGAGGGCGATGCGAAGATCTCGGGATGTTACGGGTTCCTATAAGGGAACTAGAAGAGATCTATAAGGGAGCTATTTGGGGGCTTAGGGGCTCATGTTCGGACTTTCGAGTTTAAGGTTTCGGAGCTCCCAAAACAGCCGGCCCAGAGGACCCCTTATGGAGCCACTATAAAACACCTGAAAGAGTTTCCTGAGAGAGCTTTTTGATTTACATCAGTGTCAATCTCTGCAAACGCCCATACAGTCCGTATGTTTAGGGTTTGGGGTTTAGGGATTTAGGGTCTACAATGAGCACAAAACCATACTTCATACAAGAGCCCGCAGGAGAAGTGGCCTGACCTCGCCGCGCAGGGTCCGGAGGGTGCGAAGGCAGCCCTAGAGGCGGGGGCGCGGCGTGTCTGAAACTTTGGTCTTGGATTCGGTCATGGGCTATCCTTAGAGGTTCCCAAAAGCGAGCTAGACGTTAACGTAGGGTTTAGGGCGGTGGGTGATTTTGTGTTCAAGTTCAGGGTGCAGCAATTGAGGGTGTATGGTGTAGGAAAAGGAGCCATAAGCCCTAAGCCCTAAACCCTTAACCCTAAACCCTAAACCCTGGGTTTAGCAGTTTTGGGATGTAGGAAAAACTACAAGCCCTAAACCCTAAACCCTCCACCCGAAGCCCTAAACCCTAAACCCTGGGCTGAGTCGATTTGGGATGGGACGCCTGGTGAGGAACAGAGGCTCCCAAACTGAGCTTCATGGCCTTTGAAGGCCTGGGGGGCTGTAGGAGGGTTCAGGCTAAGCTTATCACAATTAGGATACTTAGGGCCTTCAAGGGCTTTATAGGGTTTAGGGTTTAGGGCCTATAGGGTTTACAGGGTTGGAGGGTTTTTAGGGATTATAGGGTTTAGCGGTTCAAAGCTTCGGAGATGCAAGTGCAGCATCCGGGCCGTCTCCCGACTCCCGCCACTGGCCTTGTGGGATCAGCGCGGAGTGAAATTATCCTCCATCCTGGATTTGCTCGGAGAACCCAATGCACCTTAATGAAGGAATATACCTTAAATTATAGGGGCATTATCATTATTCCTGAATTATGGGGTATTGGGTTCTCTGGGTGCTCGGCTGCGGCAATCGCAGGTGCGACCACTGCAGAACTGTTGTGCCCAGTGCAGGAACAAGTCCGCCAGCCGGGTCTCCACTGCCGAAGCCGCCAGTGGATGGTTTGCGTGGCTACATTCCAAACCTTAAACCCCTAAACCCTAAACCCTAAGATTCTACTTAGTCACAGAGCACTGTCCAGCCTCTTCCCCAAAATTATCTTGACACCCTCTGGGGTGTCCGACTGCTTGCTGTACATCGTGATTCGGGAGTGAAGCTGCTAAGGAGCTTAATTCAAGTTACCATTAAAGGGAGAAAAGGTAGATTCCTGGTAAATGTGAGGGTTTCCTTGGTATAGTAATTAACAACTCAATATAGATTTTTTTCACAGCAACACAGCAGATACTGCCGCAGCTTTGTTGTGCTTGATGGGGGAGGGGCTTTATTGCATCCATCCGGCCGCAGGCAAAGTCGGAAAGCTACCTTCTATCGGTCCGTCCTCTACCACAGTCCGCATCCAGCAAATCAAACCCGAAAACGTTTTACCCTAGAGCTATACTGCCGAAGCCCAGATCCTACAATGTTAAGACCGTATGAGACTGTAAACCTGAATTCCTACATTCCGCGCTTTTACCGCAACAGTCCGAGTCCCTAAATTACTAAACCCTACTTGGAGGGTCGGGGGACTTAGTAAGTAGGGAGCGAGTAGAGTTGTAAGTACCCGAAAAGGGATCCTAATTGGGGTTGTGATACTTATAAGCCTTTAAAGTGATACTTATAAGCCTTTAAAATAACTGCTTACTAAGTCCCCCCACCCTCCAAGTAATGAAACCCGAAGGCCACCGGAGTTTGGATTGGCACCTGAAGCCGGACCCAAACAATCATCCGCTACCGTAGACACGATCTCTTCAGCAACGAGCCTGTTCCTTTCGTTTAGGGTTTAGGGTTTGGGGGTTTAGCGGTTTAGGGGTTTAGGGTTTAGGGCTTTCATGCCTCGTTATAGTAGCCTTGGTTTGACAGTTTAATCACGGACTTCAGTCGGTCGCTCGCACGAAGCACTCTTTGGTGCACATCAATGAAATGATTGAGTGAATCACCTAGAACTTGGTACGAAGGCCGACATAAATACCAATACTATTGGGGCTCCTGATTATGATTGTAGTA